CAGGGGAGGGGCAGAGACAGAGGGAGAGAAAGAATCCCAAGCAGGCTCTGCACCACAAGTGCAGTAGCCGGAGCCAGACGTGGGGCTCGAACCAACGAAGCCGTGAGATTGTGACCTGCGCCCAGATCAAGAGTCAGACGCTAACCGACTGAGCCACCCAGGAGACTTTCACTCTCTTTTGTTATCCCTTCTCGTCCTGTAAAATCTTTTTTGGTCCTTGCAGGTGTCAGTTGCGCTTCTAGGAATTAGTCAAGGGTGGACAGGCCAGAGCACCCGCAGTGGGCAGTGGCAACTGTTGTTAATATAAGAACCTCTGAGGAAAGGTGACTCTGGAGAGCAGGGCCAGAGCCACAAGCACCGATTTCCCTTCTCAAGGGAAGAATCTCTCTCTCTCTCAGAGGTCTGGGGTTTGATTTTGATTCAAGCAAATGGCAGCATCCCTTCGAAGCTACCTGGGGAGGGAGGGGAGAGGGAGACAGATGTGTACAGAGCCCCATCCATGAAGGCCCCAGAGGAATCCATCTGAGATCTGAGAAGAGTGGCCTTTAGCCGTCACAACAGATGTGCTGCCGCTATGAGGGCCACCATCGCCCCCATCACTTCTCCTAGACATTGCGGATTCGTCATCTATAGAACAGTCTTTATTCAAAGAAGGAAACCAGGGAGGAATTTTCCACTTTAACTTTCCAGACGCGGCCCTGGATAAATCAACCAAACAAAGCATCTGTTGGAGGAAAGTTTATTAAAAAATGAGTCAGGATCAAGAGCCAAAGAAAGGTCAACCGACTGGGCCAGAGCAGGCAGACCTCTGAGTCACCGCAGTTTGGCAGGGGCAGAAGGCGCTGGGGGATCGTGCCCCCCGGCCCCAGGTAGGTCAGACGACTCCTCGTGACTCTACGGCCTGTGCCAGGCACTTTCGCATATGTGTCTTTATCTCGGTTGACCTTCTGGGAAAAGACCCTCTATTTAATGTGACTCAGTCTTCACCCAGGACTTTCTCACAGGCAGACTCACAGTATTTGAGGGGAGAAACCAAAGGAAGTGGGTCCTGTGGTTGATTCAGTCATTATAGGAAGGCAGGCCAAAAGGTAATGGAGGGGTTCAACACATGTTTCATCTTTTCTTTGACCTATTCACCTCTCACCCCTGCCCCCAGGTGAGTCCTGTCCCCTCAGGTTATCCGGAGCCCCATTTACCTCACCACGCCCCACTGGGGAAAACAGGAGGGAATCAGTGGTGGCCTTCAGCTTTCATATAATCTGCCTTTCTATCCACTATCCGGTGACACCTAAACCTTCCTAGTTGTGCAAACTTAGACATGAGTCCACAGCTGACAACTGAATATTTTTTGCTTTTACCTTCTAATCTATGTTTCAGTGGCAAAGCCAGGCTAATTCAATCACTTACATTTTTACCACATTGTATCCCTTTGTTCCACTAAAAACTGGTGGAAATTAAAAATGGAACTGCTGGAACCAGGAAACTAGTAATAATAAAATTGAGAATGAGATGGGCGAGTGCTTAGTATGAAGCTTACTCTTCACGATCGCGAGCAACTTAATTACGGGTCCAAGTGCTGAGATGTAATGTTAAAGAACACCTACAAAACAGTGGAAATGCACATTTCGGGGGCTGCATTGTGGATCAAATTGAGGATCCTCAGTGGAATCCCAGCACCCCTTCCCTGAAATCTCTTTTAGGGACCAGCCCATTCTCTGACCCGCGGAATTAATGGTCTCTCCATCCTCGGCCAAGGGCTATCTGCACACACGCTGCTTCAAGCCCTTCTCTCCCACCACCACTACCCCAACCAAACAATGCCTCTGAACTCCTGTTACAGAAATTCTGGAAGGCTCTGAGGCAAGTAGAGTCTTCAGGACATATTGTCGAGTTTCATTTCAGGGGCGTTCCGATGAAATAATGGCAAGAAGTGAGCAACTTCCGGTACCATACCAGGGTGCTTGTGTCTCAGGGAGACACTGAGTGTCTCAGGGAGAATGGAACATGATCCGAGAGGTAGTAGGACTGGCTTGAGGCTAGAGGAGGGGTGACAGCACGGTCTTCCGGAGGCCCAGGATAGGCCTCAGCTGGGTCTCCCCAGTTCAGGTACTTCCTTCAAACACTCTCCCGGCCTGGGATACTGCATGGTAGAGTGAGCCCAGCGGAAGGTTATTCCTGGCACCTACCTCCCAGGATTAGGCTTCGAAACTCCCTGAGCTCCTCATAATCAAGACCAAGCTGCAAGCGAGGACAACATTCAAAGCCCCCATGGGAGCCGGTAGCCCTGTGTGGATACTCAGGGGATCAGGAAGGCTCGGGGTCCTTGCCTAAAGTAGAGGACACCAGCCAGCAGGCAGGGCAGTACGGTTTGGGAAGTTACTCCAGCTGAGCGCTCACAGCATGGGCCCCAGGCGTGGATGCCGTGAGTCTCAATAGGAGCGCCTGTCTTCAGGGGCATTCTTTGTGTGACTTTAAGAAGGTAGTAGAAAGCTTAGGATTCTCCAAAAACTGTGGGCTGCCTACTGCAAAACGTTCAATGCCGATTGATTTTCTTTCCCCCCTTCAGTTAAAATTTTTTTCCCTGAATATCATGGCCAGAGTTCTTTCAAGTGTATCCTGACTCTTGGGGCTTCTCTGTCTCTCTTCATCCCCTGGAAAGAAAGGGCTTGGAAGGAAGGGGGAGGCTTTGGGGCATGGACTCCACATAAGCCAAAGTGAAGGGCAAAATGCCTGTCTGACCCCCGCAGCCAACAAGCCTTCTCCAGCATCGATAGCAATCTCCAGGTACAAAGCAGAGAAGAGAAAACTGAGGCAGCGAGGGGAACAGAATGAGGAACACATCAGTGGCCGTCGCTTTGCTCCTGGGTACATCCAGAGAAATAGCTTCTTTTCCTTAAACTGGCAAATCCTCCATGAGGAATTAGGACTCCCGTGTTCTACAGAAACCAAGAAGCAAAGAGTTTACAAACATCTGATTAGAAGGACCCTAATAAGCTTATTACTTCTGGTGGTTGTCCCAGTCCCCGTAATAAAATAGACACATGCTACTCTTCAAGCAGATAAGAAATAAAGAAGGGAGGGAGGGACTAAATAAGAATAATGAAACAAAAAGCAAATATTACACATGAATCTTAGTGACATGTGGCTAAGTGAACTAAGCCAGTCACAAAAGGCCAAATCCTGTATGATTCCACTTATATGCGGGACCTAGCATAGCCAAAATCATAGACATAGAAAGCAGAACATTGAAGGGGCTGTGACAGCGGGGAGGGAGAGTTAGTGTTTAATGGGGACAGAGTTCCAGTTGGGGAAGATGATAAAGTTCTGGAACCAGACGGTTCTAATGGTTGTACAAGGTGAATGTATTTACCGCCACTAAAGTATACAGTTAAAAATCGTTGAGATGGTAAATTTCACATTATATATACTTTAGCACAATGAAAAAATCTTCAAAGAACAAACGTTACATAAAATAAAGAGGGGCTTGACGCTAAGTGAGAACTGGCGTATGATGGCAAAGAAATGTGTAACCTTAGGTCACCTCGGAACCTAAATTCTAAAAGACTTGAGTGGGCTCCTCATGACGTAAGATCCCACCAGACACTTTATGCTGTCTGCAGCCTGTCAAGAAGGTCACGCAGCCACCTATTCCTGTCCCCCATCCCCCAGACTCCGTCCACTCTGCTCATTCCTGCATGCTGGGGTCTTTGTTCTCCCAACTCACCCCTCCTGCTCCTCCTCCCCCTCCCCAGCCCCTGTCCTGCCCATTGGCTGATTCCCTTCCAGTCCCCATGACCCTTCATTCGGGCCATGCCTTAGTCTGTCTGGGTTGCTATAATGAAGCACAATACACTGGGTGGCTTATTAACACTGGGTGCCCTCATGGTCAGGTGAGGGCTTTCTTTCAGATCACAGACTTCTAGCTGTGTCCTCACATAGCCAAAGGGGCAAGGGACCTCTTGGGGTATCTTTTACGAGAGTACTAATCCTATTCGTGAGGTCTCCACCGTTATGACCCAGTCACCTCACCTCCTCCTCAAAGGCCTCACCCCCCAATACCATGACATTGGGTATTAGGGTTGCAACATGTAAATTTGGGAGATACAACATTCTGACCATAGCAGGTCACTTGTTAGGGTTTGATGTCATCAAAACCACAGAACTCAGATGCTATCTAAGCCTCAGGTCAGGTCTTTGACAGTAGTTTACAGATGAGTTTACAGCGAAGTTTTAGCATTAGAAATCCTCATGCCTTGTTCGAACATAGATTGACCTGTGATGAGGGGACACCGGCTAACTGACAGATGGCTTTGTTTGACGTGGACTAGAATTGCGTCATCTTGGTGTGCCACCTGTGTCTCTCACATGCTTCTAAGAATTCTGGCCTTCATAGGCCAGCTGGAAAAACAAGCGAATTGTTACTTATCTTGATTTGGTGGATAAAGTCTTTCAAAACTGGAGTCCAGCAGGAGGGTAACTAATGTGCAATCCCAGTGGTGCCACGCTTGGTCCCCACTAGTCTGTGTGACCTTTAAGTGGCTTCCAGTATCAATGTGCTACGACCGTGGTCATGAAAAAAGTGCCATTATCCTCGCCTGCCCTCCCCGCAGATTGCCTCCCGCCATTCCCTGACTTCCATTTCTGGCCCCACGTATGCTACACTACATGCCAAACTTCCTGACATCTTAACCGCCACTCTACAACTCTCACGTCCCATTACCCCAGGGCTCACGTGCTACATCTCTGCATTCAGGGAGTGTTCAAGAGAGCCTGTAAGTGAAGGAGGGCCTTCTGGAGAGGTGACGTCTTTCCCTTAAGAAGTAGCTCTGATCAAAACAAGCAACAGACACAGGCCCTCTCACCACAAGTATATACGGTAGCAAGCTTCAGGCAGATGGTCCAAGTGTGATGCATCGTTGTCCCTCTGTAAGCCACCCCGTGCCAACAATGCCAACTGGTGATGAACCCACCTTGGCCCCCCACTTGCCGGCTATGAGGTCTCAGTACGTGTGCTTCAGCATCTGGGTGGAAGAAGACGGTGGAGGCCTTTTGGGTGGCATGTGATATCTCACTTTTTTCCAGAACTTGGTCTTTGCGCACTGTGACTGCTCTGTGAAGTCCCCACTCCACTGGATGGCCCCGTGCTTCTGCTTGATGTACTGAATTGACTCTGGCATGGCCGTGTAGTCCTTGACCTTCTCCAGTTCAATCAGAATGACCTTCATCCCGTCCTGGATGAGCGCATTATAGACTGCGATTTGTTCTTCGGACATGTTCTTTAACAGGTCAAAGCTCAGGAATTCAGGAACTATGATGATGATCAGCCTCCTGCACAGCTTGATGTTTTCATCAATGACATTGGCCACAGCTGGAAATAAAGAAAGAAGAGGCGGATTATCTCATGAGTGAAACAGCCCAGACCTCAGTGCTGTTGAGAATATTAGAAATGGAACCCAAGAAGACAGTGTGGGCTTTAAAATAAAGGTGACTTAGGAATGGATTAATAAACTTGTTTTAAGTTTATTTCTTTATCTTGAAAGAGAGAAAGCGAGCGGGGAAGGGACAGAGAGAGAGGGAAAGAGAGAGAATCCCAAGCTGGCTCCATTCTTGATCTCATGGGGATCTTATGGGGCTCGATCTCACAACTGTGAGATCATGACCTGAGCTGAAATCAAGAGTCAGACACTTAACTGACTGAGCCACCCAGCCTCCCCAGTGAAAGTTTTTTTTTTTTTTTCAAACATTTATCACATCCTCTGTGAAACCTTCCTGACTTTCCCTGAGAAATTGGTCCTTTGTATTCATAAGTCTTATTTTTTGGTGGTTAGCTGTCACTTTCCTCAGGCTCCACCTTGTGAACTACTCTGAACAAGGGTTTTATCATCCCCAAGGTGATATCTCCAACTTAGCCGAAGGGCTGGTATATATTAGATGATTAACACATTTTTTAAATAGATTTTAAAAGGATAGGGAAAATGTAGATAGCTCAAACATTGTATTAATCTTTATCGCTGTTTTCCTTTTGTGCTTCACAGCTACTTAAAGGCCCAGGACTTACAGAACTAATGTGAAAATGAATAACATCCCCTGATGATTTCTTGGGGAGAGTTCTTGAAATATCCAGCTATGGATGCAACTTGGTCTTTTTTAGCAATAAAGATTAATTTTTATATCCTCCTTATTCCTAGAATATAAAAATAGATTGTGGCCTTCCCAAGATCAGGTTCTTCTTCCCTTTGGTTTATTTTTATATTTCTAGTGCCTAGAATATTACCTGACACATAGTAGGTGCTCAATAAATATTTGCTAAGTAAGCAACAGAATGTGCTTACGAAATCTTAGCTCTCCCACATGTTTATGGCAAGTGTTAGATCAAATTTTCATTTCCTCATGGAGGATGATTTTATGACTTGAGAAGATGAGGGCTGAGATATAGTTGTAGCTCACCATGGATATGAGCAGCCTACAAATCCAAAGTACTTAGCAACCTTTGCAAACGACCCAGAACAGGCCACTAGCAAATGTTGTAAATGTTGGTTTCCTTTTGACCAGTAAAGGATGTTTATTTCAAAATTCAGCCATTTATTGTATAGAGTTCCAGGAAGGAAAATTTGTAGGTCAAAAGGGAAACTTTTATCTGCTGAATGTCTCATATGTGCTAAGCTCCATACTGGTCTCCGCTCGGGTTTTGCCTCATTTCATTCTCTTGGCCAAGTCAGGGAAGCATTCTCATCCCCATTTGACAGATGAGACAACTGAGGTTCAGAGAGGTTGCCTGCATAGCCCAAAGCTTCACTCCTGTCCAATGGGAGGCATAAATGAATTCTATTTTACTTATGCAGGAAAAGACTGGGGGGTTGAGGTTTATAAGATCAGCTTTATTTATTTTTTTTTTTCAACATTTATTTATTTTTGGGACAGAGAGAGACAGAGCATGAACGGGGGAGGGGCAGAGAGAGAGGGAGACACAGAATCGGAAACAGACTCCAGGCTCTGAGCCATCAGCCCAGAGCCTGACGCGGGACTCTAACTCACGGACCGTGAGATCGTGACCTGGCTGAAGTCGGACGCTTAACCGACTGCGCCACCCAGGCGCCCCTATAAGATCAGCTTTAAACATGAGCGGATTGATATATTCAAGCT